GACTGAAAACTAGCTCAATCTGACTCAGACAACTTACAGAGGCTAAATTCGTAAAAATATCTTCTGTTTTTTTGTTTGGTCACAAAGGACTATACTGTAATTTCATACCACTTTTAGGTTAGATTTGCATTTGATTGAAGTTTGGGTCTAGTATTGGGGTTAAAACCAAGTTGTAGGTTAGTTTTGGCAAAAACCCCTTATCTTTTTCTCGTCCGATATAGTTTTTAAACTTATCGATGATTCTAAAAGCTAATTTACTTTCAGGTGCATCTTTGCACCCACTGTCCAAGCACATAATTATTTTTCATATTACCAAGGACATTTATTTTGAACTTTTCCAAATTCGACATGATAAACATATTCATATAATAATATATAAAATATATAATAAAGATGGAAATTTAAATGCATAATTTAAATGCAGAAAGTAAAGGCATAAATCGATAAGTTAAATTGCAGAAATTTAAAGAACATAAATAAAAATGGAAGCTTAGTCTTTTAAATGATCCGAGGAGACATTGTCTACCATGTTGATCATTTTATCAATGTTTGAGGAGACAAAGTCTGTCTTGTTAACCTTTTCTTTTTATTCAAAGTTCGAGGAGACTTAGTCTAACATTTTTGACCTTTTTTTTTGTTTAAGATCTGAGGTGACATAGTCATCCATTTTGATATTTTATTTTTATTCACAGAGACAAAGCCTAACGTGTTTCTCTGATCCTGAAGGCATAGTCTTTCTTACCAATCAATCAGGGAAGGTAACGTCTGTCATCCCAAAAAATGAACGGAGAATACCTAACTTATAAAATTATAATAATAAAAATTATTGAAACACATAAATTAAATTTTATCTCGTTGGTCGGAGAACGTTCGTGTTAATAATGTGTTGTGAATAAAATAAAAAGATAAAGATATATTTATTTCTTATATATATATATATATATATATATATATATATGTATCTTGCTTTGTGTTTTAAGAACACTACAAGAGTGATAAATTGTGAGAGAAAGATGATACTTTTTATTGCTGTTGTTCCATCAAACCATAAGAGTGATGGTTATTTATAGCAAGAAGAAACACATAAAATAAATTAAATAATAAGTCAGTCAGTGGTGGAGTTGACACTAAGCTATGTGATGGTGTTACTAATAATCCACGTACCCTTTAATCTAGATAGATAATCACCAACATAAAATATCATTTTATCTTTAACAGTCCTATATTTTTCCTCTCATTTTCTTTATGATTGCACTCCAACAAATGAAAAACCAGCAGGGCCAACACAACTATTCTTTGCAAAGACTACCTTGCGCTAGGAAAATCCTGGGTGTCGTAGCTCATACTCACTTTAGGGAAACTTTGAGAGTCTAGGTCTTGACTGTTACCTTTCATCGAGATTTCAGAAGTAAGACACTCTTTTAGCTCGCTAACAACTTGGAACATGTTTGGTCGGTTTTCTGAAGAAGGGTTTGCACACAACATAGCCAATTCAAGAGCTCTCCAGGCAGAATGAGAATTGTAGTCACCATGAAGTTTAGGATCCATGATTCCATTAATATCTCCTCTATTAAGCATAAATGTTGTCCATTCAGCTATGTGTGACTTTTTACGAGTTTGGTCAACCACGTCTTGGTTTGTGATTATCTCCAATAATACAATTCCAAAACTATAAACATCGCTCAGCTCTGCCAGTCGACCTGTTCTGTAAGATCTAGCAAGGAAAACCACAGAGTAAGATACATGTATTCATTATACCGATGAAGATGAATATTGTCACAAATTTTACATTTGTTCACATTATTATTTTAGACTCTTTTTTTTGTAACCTCATGTTATACATATATAGAAAGTCATACCCCAGGTGGAGTAACAATACTTACTCGGGATCAAGATATCCAGGAGTCCCAGCAACGGCTGTCGAAACATGAAATTCACCTCCAAGTTGGAAAGACCTTGAAAGTCCAAAGTCTGCAAGTTTGGCAGTGAATCCCTCGTCTAACAATATATTTGTACTTTTGACATCTCTATGCACCATTGGTGGTCGACATCCAATATGTAAATATTCTAGTCCTGTAAACATTGGAAACTCTCCCTTTTACTTATTTTTGAGCTTTAGAAATCGTAATTACAAAACATAAATACTTTTAGTAAATATATTCAAATATTCTGGATTTTTAATGCTGTTACCATGGTCATTTAATCAAATTGGAATATAGTATTTTAATGTAAAAGAGAACAAACTGTTAAATTACTTTTAAGTACAAAATAAGAACTGTGTAATTTATATTCGAAACATATGTAAGTGAAACGACAAGTGAATGACACTATTATGAGATAGTTCGAACCTAGTGCGGCGTCGATGGCTATTTGTAGTCGAGTACTCCACTTCAGAACAGAGCTACCGTGTTTTCCTATATAAGATTGTCAAATCAGTTAACATGTTATTTTTCATATAATTTAGCTAAGAAGATGCTCAAGTAATTTACATATTTTAATTTTTTCACCTGACAAAAGATGTTTTAAGTCTCCGTTGGACATGTATTCATATATGAGAGCCAAATGACCTCGTTCCTCGCAGTATCCGACAAGGCTTACCAAGTTTATGTGGTGAACCCTCAACAAAAGTTCGACCTGTAGAACAATGAAAGCATACATGAAACGCATTGGTTTAACATATACAGAATTACGACGATATCTTACCTCTGCCTTGAACTCTTTATAGCCTTGTGTTGATGATTGGGAAAGAAGTTTGACAGCTACCTGTTGTGAACCATTTATAACACCATGATAAACAACGCCAAACCCTCCTTCACCAAGTGGTCTTGCCAAGTTTTTTGTCATTTCCATCACCTCTGAATAATTATACTTTTTCTTTTTCATCTCAATCGATATTTCAGAGATATTAGTGGATGTAACATTCCCACCCAGCTTAATTGATTTTTTTTTCTTCTTAAACACGAAAATGAGAACTAGAACCACTATAATGACCATGAATGTAGCCGAAGAAACAAATGCAACAGTTTTTACTGGAATTTTCTTCTCTGTGACATCACATGAACCAGAAAAACAACGATGCTCTCCATCAACACTATCCAAAAAAATGATTAACCGTTATAATTCTGAATACATGTGGTGAATTATTCAAAAGAAATGTGTGTAGGTGGAGTTCCTTCTTACAATAGCTGTAGCCCTTCTTTTTCTCTGTCAAGAAGAGCTTGTGGGATAAATCCAATAAGATTATTCTTCTTCAAGTTTCTGTTAAACCATAGATATATCATACATATAGGTGAACATGATCCCAAGAAATACAATTACCAAGTATGTCAATAGAGGCTTACATGAGTATTAAAGACTTCATATTAGCCAGAAATTCTGGAACTTCTCCAGTCAGATTGTTGTTTGACAAATCCCTAAAGTTTGTAAGAATCAAGTCACTGTCATTTATGAACTTCTTACTCCTATTTTAAAATTATCATACTTACAACTTTTCAAGATGGGTAAAATTTTGAATTGCAGCTGCTATGGTTCCTTCCAACCCGTTGGAAGATAAGTTCCTGTTCACAGAAAAAGTGTGATGTTGACATAAAAAAAATTTCTTGCAGTTCTACAGATGTTATGCTATATAAAGATCTCACAAATAAGTGATCATTGGTGGTGTAGATGTATCTGTGCTGTTGCAATTTAGACCATCCCACAAAAATTTCTGGGGGACACAGGGATCTCCTTGCCATGTGATTCTATTTAACCCATATCTTGCTTTGATTTTTTGGATAGCAACAACTGTCAAGAGTACAACAATAAATATATACAGTATGTTGTCTATTTAGCATAAACGACGCTTTCAAAACTTTTATATATTTATCTATCTGTGTGAATGCAAATATATATGGAACCTTGCATGAGTAGTAAGCGTACCATCATTTTCATTTGTTTCCAGTTGTGGAAATTTGACGACTGTGTAAAGTTCGATGGCATTGAGAAGAGGTGGGAGAGTAGAGTTTGTAGTTCTTATCAGCTCTAAGTTGCATACTCCACCTTTGCAAGTAACTGGTGTCGTGGAGTAAATTGTAGTCGTCTTCAAATATTCAGGGCTTATCGTTTTGTCAAACTGTTGGCCGTTCCAAAATATATCAAACTCTCTAGAGTCACCGATGGGTAATGATTGGACCTCCGAGAAGTGGAGGTACAAGTAAATTTGATCGTCAGGGAAATCGAGTTCCTCCGAAATATTGAAGCGTGCAGTATGATTCACAGGTATGGCCGCGGTTTTGAGTACATTCTGCGGCACAAGAAAATCATTGGAGTTGTTCGCTTGGAGGTTGGTGGAAATCTGCATCCATTCTGGATCAAACTTTGGTTCCCATATTCTGTCTTTGACGTCATCTGGGTACCTGTGATTCATAAAATATTGTATTATCACATATTAACAACATAAAACCAAATGAAGAAATTTGTTAAGACCACCTAAAGGTACTTACGATAGAATGGTATCTGAACTGGTAAGATAGTATCGCTTAAAACTCTTCAATAAACCAGATTCCGTGATGTAAAGATCATTTGCTAGCGGCCTTAGTTCCACTGATGTAATCATTGGCGTAGTAGTGCCTGTCTTAACAAGACACAAGTCCAAGGAATTTGATCTTGGGATGTAAATGATCTCCTCGGATTGACCGCTTATCTTATTTTCTAGGTCTATCGTTACCCAAAAGTTAGGACCAACGTATACGTCAAACTTAGGAGTAATATTGAGACCGTCGTAGTTTCCATATAGAGCTGTAAATCTCATCAGATAATTTGTCCCTTGCTTCACACTAAGATTGTAACAGTTGCGTATTCCATCTGGAAAGTATCTCAGAGTCACGTATGTTTTTATGGTCTTTGGTAGACTTGGATCAATCTTCCCAATCTTTCCAGTTTGGATGAAGTCCGAGTCTGATGAGAACCATAGTCCAGTATCTGGCTCGATATATGGGGACGCTTCACTCGGGGGTAAACCACAATCCAAACTGATGAACCCTATCCCATAGCATCATCAATTAATGATCACTTTAACTATTCGAGTGTTCCACAATTTTTGCTTCTAAATTTTGTTCACCTTTAGAGTTTTCTTGTTCTATTGATTCCACTATTCCATAGTTCAACATACCAGTCAAACTTTGAGTTAAAATGCTAATCTTCTATGGTTTTGCGAAGTTACTTTAACAAATAGTATATATTATAACTGCCATTGTATCCTTGTAATTGAATCCCTTCCATAGTTCCATAATTCATATATAAATTCACTTTCTCTTAAACCACACAATTCCTCCACTAGTTTGTAAGTTAGAAACGTTTCTAACTGTGCAAATCTATCATATGATTATTTGGATTTTCTCTTGTTATAGTAAATCCAAGATAATCATTGTTGTGCTAAAAAGTGACAATTCTCTACTTTTCTTATCAACCACATGCATTGTGCAGATTTTAATTCAGGTAATAGTAGATTTTCTACTGTGAAAATTTTACTAACGTAACTCAACATAAATAAATAAATAGGTACATACCTTCTTGATCGTCAGCTCGAGAAAGGTGAATAACAGCGAAAGTTGCAATAAGTGCCACCAACAAAACCTCATGGGGACGCTCCATAAGCTCTTGCTTTCCAAGCAAAATCAAGAAATTCGAGAAAAGTTCTGAACCGTCGATAATTCAAGCAAAAGACGTTACCAAGATAGTCCCCTGAAATCGTGCGGACATGTCATATATAGTTTCCTCTTTCCACAAAAGAAGTTTTACTTGATGAAGGAGTTATTTGCTCCGTTCTGTATAGGGGAACCGAATGTATGTTATTTAATTTTCTTGGTCAGAAAATGCTTAAATTGTCTTAAATTTTAATTATTCTAAAGAACCTATCGATTTAAAGAATAATATTTTTAGCAACGAACATGGGACGTGGCGAAATGCACAGATGATATGGCTTCAAGTCCTCGTTGACTTAAGTTTCCAATGTTTCAATCTCTTTAGGACATCAGATGTTTCAAGTAGAGGGTGTCCACTCCGATTTTGTTTTGTAAATTTGACTTTTATGTTTTAAAATCTTTTTATGTTTTAAAATCTTTCTAACACGAAATGCAACATATAAAATAAAAACCAATCTTCGGTACTGCGAGACGTCGCTGACGAAATAGTTTTTCGACATAAATACCTTTTTTAATAAAGTCATTTTCTTGGAATACCTAACATTCCATCCGAGACTATAAAATACGCACAAGATACGAATCCTTCGCGAAGGCCCAAACAACGGTAGCATCTACCACTAAGTTTGTTGCTGATCACAACAAACTCACAACGGTCCTAAACAAACTTAAGTTATCTCGCAGAGATAGCTCTCATACACCCGACACAAGGGTAATAGCGCTATAAAGAAATCCAAATTTTGGTCAGCACCTTCGGAGATGCTCGATTTCGATCAGACAAGTCGTATGAGCCGAGAACATATCATGGAAAATCGATACGAAATCAGGTTAAAATCGCAACAGGCAAAACGAAAGCCGACTAGTCATCGTATAGCCTTAATCAGAAAGTAAACCTAGGTCTTGTCCTAAACCCAGCACATTGGTCTCTAACGTCACAACACATGAATTGAGATCCTAAAGGCATGTCTCTTCGTTCAAATCTAAACGCTCACCGAATTTTGAAAATTCCGGAACGGGCAAACGAGCAGGGCGATCTAAAAAAAGAGTTAGACTATGAGATGACAACTCGTATTCTTCCCTCTACTTACCTACGAATAAAAACACGCTCTTAAAAACGCAAACTCCGATGATTCCATTAATAAAGCCGCACACGGTCAGTCCGAAAACTATAACGGCCACTGTCGGCCAGAGCAAACAGCGTACTAAGCTAGTCTCAAGACCGACAAAGGTCCAATACAAATAACTAGACTGTAAAGGTCTCACTGGGAAACATGTCATACGAACCTTAACTCCACGACGAACTACGAAAGGCTTGATCCCTTCAATAGGGTACGTAGGAAGCCTTCACAAGGCGCAGCCCTAATCTTAAAAAAAAAAAGTTTTACTATTCATTTTTGGACTTTTGACCATTAAAGTTCCACCTAATTCTACCAAACTTGCCGAACAAGTTCAAACCGCTCGCAAGAACTCTACGATTCTTACGAACTGGGGGGGGGGCTAACTGTTGGGGTCAAAATTGGTACGACGGAATCAATGACCAAAACTTTCCGCAAAAATAAAAATACGTTTTATAAAATACGAGAAGTTGTTTTATAAAATTCTAAGGACTTTCCACAAAAGAAATCCGCACGAAACTTGAAAATTGTCTTCCGCAGAGATCCAGAACCTCGGGAGAATTAGGGTTTTCTCTAAGTTTCCATATTTTACGGAAAATCGACAGTATGAATTTCGGTTCCCACAGTTATTATATTGTGACACCGAAAAATTTAATGTTACAGCCTTATCTCTTATGTTGTTTGCTTGATAATTATGTAATGTGTACAAAGTGGTTATACAAAGTCCAAGAGAAAAACCCTGGATCATTAATTTTTGTAGAGAATGAGGCTGCTGGAAAGATTAAGTACACTTTCTTTCCTTTTTCTCCATCGATAAGGGGCTTCTCACTAAGATTTTCTGCTGCTTGATTTGTATCGGATTTCATATGTGTTTTAGTCTCATTCGACGGCTCTGCATCATTCTACAAAAATCAGGAAGACAATCTTGAATATGTACAAAAGTTTCGTAAATTACTTGAAAACTTCAAGTAAAACAAGATATGAGCATACTTGTGTCACATTAAGGGAATCGGATCCAGTCTATGTCTCAGCCTGAAAAACACAAGAAAAATTAAAAGAAATTCAATAGATAATTAATAAAACATTTTAAATATACTTTCTTACCTCATCAGTATTTTGGCTTTCATTAAGAACTAGTGGAGACATTGGAAAGGTAGGTTTGGAATGGGTTCACCATGCTTGGAAGGTGTCTCATCCAATCGGTATGTTTCAATCAGCAAGTACAAAACCAATCAGGAAGGTTATCATGAACATGTACTAAAGCTTCCTAATTTCTTGAACAGAGAAAATTTAAACAAGGATTGAGCATATACGTGTTGTGTCAAACTAGGAGAAATGGCTCTTCCCAATATGTGTCTATGTCTCAGTTTTCAAGTGCAAAACCAATGAGGAAGGCTATCATGAATATGTACTAAAGCTTCCAAAATTACTTAAACAGAGAAAATTTAAACAAGGATTGAACATATATGTGTTGTGTCAAACTAGAAGAAAGAGCTCGAGTCCCTGACTGCGTCTCTATGTTAGTCTGCTAGTGTGAAAAAAATTAGGAAGACTATCATGAATATGTACTAAAGCTTACTAAATTACTTAAACAGAGAAAATTTAAACAAGGATTGAGCATATACGTGTTGTGTCAAACTAGGAAAAAGGGCTCGATTCCCAGTATGCGTCTCTGTCTCAGTCTGCAAGTGCAAAAAAAATTGAGGAAGGCTATCAAGAATATGTACTAAAGCTTCCTAAATTACTTAAACAGAAAACATTTAAACAAGGTTTGAGCATATATATGTCGTGTCAAACTAGAAGAAAGAGTACGAGTCCCAGACTGCATCTCTGTGTCAGCCTGCAAGTGTAAAACCAATCAGGAAGACTATCATGAATATGTACTAAAGCTTACTAAATTACTTAAACAGAGAAACTTAAACAAGAAGTGAGCATATACGTGTTGAGTCAAACTAGGAGAAAGGGCTCGATTCCCAATACGTTTCTGTCTGCAAGTGAAAAAACAATCAGGAAGACTATCACAAATATGTACTAAAACTTTCTAAATTAATTAAATAGAGAAAAAATAAATAAGGATTTATCATATATGTGTAGTGTCAAACTAGAAAGAAGATTCAAGGTTTATCACATTACTAATAGAAATCTCTTGGTGATAATATTCAACGTCACTTAGAAACAATGTAGAATGAAGAGAATAGAGGTAACTTCATAGTTAAACACAAAAGTCCCCCAAAACTCAAATACATGATGGACTCCACTAAAACAAAAAAAAACACAAGGAATAGATTTCACAGCCAATCAAAATGATTCAATTATGTTACCTTAGAACACAAAATTACATGTGTTTTGAGAAAAATCGGTGGGTAAGAGTCTCTTATTCTATTCCTATCATAAGTAACCTAACAAGAGAAAATAATAGTCACGTATCTTCTGGAATCCTTTCTAAAAAGTTCTACAAATTCTTCCTGAAATTTAAATAAAACAGTTTCATGATTCCAAGAACGAACAACTAACAATGTCTTGAGCAAACATTTTTGTATACTACTAAGTTCACAAGAAAACATAGATATAACCTCAAATTTAGGATAAATTATTGAGATTTAAGGATCAATATCATGAAAATGATGTACGTTATCAGATTCATCAGGTACAATGAAATAAATGAAACAAACAAAAGATGAAGTGAGATTCAATTACTTCTCGTGCTTAACGAATACACTTGATTGTGATTGGATCTCGTCACAAAACAAGATAACATTCAGCATCATTACGAATCCTCAAATTTCTAATTGATAACCCTAATTTCAGTTTGTAATTGAAATCTTTCAAAACTTACATTTATAAGGTCTTCTTCTAGTCGTTGTCTTCGTCGGAAAAGAATTGGTTCAAGTGATTTTTTATCAATTTTTTATTGTTAATTAGATAAGGATAATAATGTCTTCTCTTTTTTTTTTTTAACGAAATGGATAATAATGTCTTTTAATCTATTAATGAAGGTTATATTTGTGACTTTCATTTTAAGGGGCTTGTTTTCGAACAAAAACTAAAATAAAGTTATGTAGGAGAATTTCCCTATGCTATCACAAAGTTAATTTTTATTATATATATCTTTTGTATATGTTGTAATATATTTTGTATAACATCCAATATTTAATATTTTCTATTTTTTTTTTAAACAGTGACATATTTAAAAATATATGATAAAAATGGAAATATAACTCATAACAAATATAAATAAAAAGGAACATTTCTTGAATAGAAAAAAAATCCAATAAAACCTGCAAGAAAATATGACTGAAATTTGTAAGAAATGGTAAGAAATAAAATATTTTGAATATTTATTTCTAAATTTCACTAAATAGAAAAAAAAATTATTTATCAAAATAATTTGCAAACTGCTTGGTTGTAGATATTCATTATCTTTGTGTGTGTTGTTTAATTGTTATTAGAGCAATTCAACCTTTATCCTAACTAGGGGCTTTTCCCGGGATACGCCCGGGTATTCGTATAAATTTTAGTTAAATTAAAAGGGTTACAATAACATTTGAATATAATATTGTTTTATATATTACAATCAATTTTAAACTTTTACACTGTAAAGAATAGTTCATTTGAATTTATTAATTGCTTTTTATCTAAAATATCTCACATAAATTAAATTACAATTTTGTCATTATTAAATGAATTCATATATAGAATGATAAATAAGATGAGTAAAAGTTAACTAAAATGAATTTATCTTATTAATTTAGGTTTTCTATAAAACAATTAAAAATTTAAAATTGATTTAAACTCTTTTTTACTTTATACTTATTGTGTTGTATTACCATATTGAAAA